CGATGTGTTGGCTACTCTCCTCAACAATTTGAAAGTGCAGGAACGTCAGAACCGAGTTTGCACCACAGTGGCTATCGCTATTGTGGCAGAGACCTGTTCCCCCTTCACAGTGCTGCCAGGACTGATGAATGAGTATCGAGTGCCAGAGTTGAATGTGCAGAATGGTGTGCTCAAGTCACTGGCCTTCATGTTCGAGTACATAGGAGAGATGAGTAAGGACTACATTTACGCAGTGACGCCGTTGCTTGAGGACGCGCTGATGGATAGGGATTTGGTGCATCGACAGACAGCTATGTCAGCTGTGGGTCATATGGCGCTAGGCGTTTACGGATTTGGTTGTGAAGACGCCTTATTGCATCTCCTCAACTACGTCTGGCCGAATGTCTTTGAGACATCGCCTCATGTCATTCAGGCTTTCCTGTGTGCCATAGAAGGCTTCAGAGTGGCATTGGGTCCTAACAAGCTCATTCAATATGTCCTGCAGGGTCTGTACCATCCAGCTCGAAAAGTGCGTGACATAATGTGGAAGGTGTATAATACGATCTACATTGGTAACCAGGATGGTTTAGTCTACGGATTCCCTAGGATTAAAGACGAGGAGAAGAACACATACGTTCGGCATGAATTGGACTACATTCTTTAATTGCTGATTCTGTCGAAACTATTTTACTGTATCATATTCGCTAATTGCGTTATTATTTAGTATAATTCGGTTTTGTGGTTCTAATTTTTCAATTTTATGAAGTTCATTTTATTGACGAATTCCATATTTTTTCCCTGTTTTGTAATTATTCATTTTTCTCCAATTTATATTTAGGTAGTTGCAATTGAAATGGATATATCTAATAGCCTCCCTTTGAGTGCTTTAAATTTTTTTCAGTGGGTAATTATAATTTTTCGAATGTCTTTCACATTTTATTATGCTTTCTTCATTTAAAATCTTCCTTTTATCCCGACTGCAGAGCGTACGTTTTAAAGGTTTCTGACTTTTCGGTATTTCCTAACGATGGCGATGTATTAGCTATTATCTCGAATATCTATGCGCACTTTTATTTGCCGAATTTTGGCTTTATAAATTCCTGAATTATCTGGAAAGCGCCAATTGAAAATCACATCAACTACATTAGTAAAGGATTTTTGAATGTGTATTGCTGTTAGAAGATGAATTTTACATTTACACTTGATACTTTTTGCAAATGATGAGTTTAGAGTTTGTTTAGTCTAGTACATTAGGTAAATTGCTTAAACGGAATTTGTCCCTGCAACGATAAATTTGCCATGGTTAGTATTAAATGGGTATCAATCGATGGCTATACTAATGAAAACAGAAGTTGCGGATAAAAGATCTACATTTTTAATGCTAAATATGATTTAGAACTTTAACTTAGAAAAAGATAATGTGAGAGTCCTCATTCCGGACTACGATGAATAGACGACTAGAAAAATTTGAATATGAAGGAACTATCTTATTTTTATAGACAAATATGAATGTGTCGAAATGTTAAATTTATTATTGCATTAGAATTTTTATTATACTATCAAAATTTAATGTGGTTTTAAATAATCATTAAATATTGCCATTTTAAAGAAAAATTAGTTAACGCTGTTTATAGGGAGCCGTTTTACTAAATATTTTTAGCTTTCGTTTATTGCTAACATTATCGCAATATATTTTAGCACATTTTAACCTTTCATTAATTTAATGGAGCTATCCAATAAATCGCAGCCGGTACTTTAAATTTTTTTGGCTGTGTTTTTTTGTGTTTGGGTTTAATGGTAAATACAGATATGATTGTTTGCATTGAATAGTTAGTCTTCAATGACGAGGAAATCTGTTAAAAAGGGTGAATTTAATTTCCGGACGAATACTTTTGTGGTAAGGACTTACATGAATTAGCTTATTTTCTTCAAAGTCACGTGAAATCCAGGAAGCTTTTGACCTATTTGATGCACATAAAACGGGCTTTATCGACACGAAAGATTTGAAAGTGGCTATGAGGGCTCTTGGCTTTGAGCCAAAGAAGGAAGAAATAAAGAAGCTCATTGCGGATTACGATCCTGAGGGCAAAGGTACATAATTCTGATGCTACTCATAATCTTTAGGCGTTTTATCATATTCTGATTTTTTAAGAATGATGACAATCAAGATGCAGGACAAGGATGCTCGCGAAGAAGTGATTAAAGCATTCAAATTATTTGATGATGACGAAACTGGATCCATATCTTTTAAAAATTTGAAACGTGTTGCAAAGGAGCTTGGTGAAAATATTACAGATATAGAACTTCAGGAGATGATAGATGAAGCTGATAAGGATGGTGACGGTGTTGTCAATGAAGCAGAATTTCTTCGCATCATGAAGAAGACAAATATGTATTGATGAATATATTTTTCTCTCATATCTCATTCCGTAGTAAACCACCCTGTTTTAAGATTTTTTAAGTATCTGTTATTACTATTATTGTTTTTCAAAGCCTTTCATATCGTTATGTCACGGTGTTTGTTTATGTTTTGCTTTCATTTCAGTTAATTTCGTTAGCCTGATTGTCTAAGCACTTTTAACGTATTCTCCTTTCATATATAAATATATATATCATTAATTGAATAAATTGCCTCTTATTCAGTAAAGTTGTATCGTCCGAGAGCTTAGAAATTCGTTGACATTCATTAATGTATTCGCTATCTTGTTAGATAAATTTTCTTTATTTATATCCCTTCATTTTGGCTGCTCATCACGCACTATTTTAGTTGATTTTTTAACGATTTTAGTAGAGAGTTAATCAGTTTAACATGAAATGGCATATGTGAACTTATATTTAGGGATATTTTGCCTCCTACTTAACTGATTGTAAGGGGAATACAAAAAACGATTAAAGCATGTTACAAAATATGCTTTATTGCGAATTCTATTCAAGCTCTAGTCGCTTGAATTGGTTTTATTCTAATATTTGCTGCAGCAACATCTTCCCGAAGGCTCTTCCCAAGTGGTGCTCTGCAAAAAGTTAGAAAATGTCAGTTTCCTATGCTTTGATAGAAAATTAATAAAGAAGAAATTACCTTGGACTAAAGTCTATTAAAGATGGGTTATGCTCAATTCTTTTACCTTGAGAATGAAGCAAGGCGCCGTTCCTGTAGGTATAAAAGAGTGCAGAAACAACGCTCATGTTAATTAACGGAACGAAATTCTGGGTTCATTCTGACCTGAAAATTCCCTCATTTGGCTTTATTTACTGATTCTTGCCTACCTTACAGTAATATAAAGTGGATCATTGATACTAACTTTTGACTTTACCCAATTTTGCATTTTTAAGTCGGCCAAAGTTCCGCGTAATTTTCTTCAGCTTTCCAATTGTATTCTGCATTACTGAATTCGCCTACAAGCTGCAGGCGATAACCGGTTTGTTAACAATGGGTTACCTACTTGCAACTGCCATTTGTATACCAATTTGTTACAGATAGCTCTTGTAAAACCTTAATTATTTGAAGGGCTAGAGAATCTTCTCCCCGTTTCGGTCTGCTTACTATACCAACGATTCGCAAACCACAAAGATAGGAGAACGTAAATAGAGTTAACTTACCAAGCGATCATTACACCATTATCTGTACATAATCGAGGAGGAGGAGCGGTGAAACGCATGCCATAATATGCGGCCACTTTAGTCAATCCTGAGCGTACAAATTGATTGCTTGCTACACCACCAGAAAGCACCTGAATTTAAAGGAGATACGAAATTTATTCGCCCGTTAGATTTGCCACTTGCATAAATATTATGATGAAATAGCATACAAGTGCTGCCGCTGAAGGGTCAGTGACTTCCCGAATCTTGGGTCTCGGCCAAGTCGATTCAGGAATCTGTACTGAAGAGGGAAGAAGGGAATTGCGTACACAGTACTCTATCGCTCTTTGCACCCTTCGACAAAACAGTTTGGTCACTGATGTTTGACAAGCAGAACAAATTGATGCAATTACATCAGTTGGGAGGGGACTGCATTGGATATCCTTTTCTAAGTTAGCAATCAATCGCTCAGCTGCTGATCTAATACCAGAGAAGGAGAAATCACAATCTCGCGAAACGCTTCGTGGTGTAGGAATAGGATATGTGGATGGGCTCGTGCTGGTTTGTGCCATTAGTTCGATAGCCATTCCACCGGGAATTTGACTAAATTCGCCACCATTTAAAGTCGATAATTTCAACCGACGGGCAATCTAGAAGTGTCAAATCAATAAAACATTAACCTTATCTAAGCAGTCACCAGGAGACATGTCTAAAGATGTCCCGAGTAATAGAAACTCATCTACGCTCTTCGTGAGCGCCAAAAGTGAGTGCCCGCCACTAACTAACATAGCCAAAAAGGGAAAAGTTAAACTTAACAATCAGGTTGTGAAAAATTAGAATTACTTCTTATCAGTTAGTAAAGCGGTTAAAGCATGAGCTTCCATATGGTGAATGGGAATAATTGGCAATCTATTAAATGAAAATACGATTAAATGAAAATACTTGTATTTGGTAGCCAGTTCCTTTGCATAAGTAACACCGATTTTAAGAGATAGAGCCATTCCAGGTTTCACAGTTACAGCGATAGCATCTAGGTCCTTAAACGAAAGACCGGAATTTCTCATCGCGGTTGAAACTGTCGCTGCGATATTTTCAGCATGCAATTTTTGTGCAATCGGAGGAACTACGCCTCCATTACTAAATATTTTCCTAATGTAGAATTAAATCATAAATACTTTACTGAAATGGCTGTCTGGGAAGCGAGAGCTTCACCGAGTACCATTCTCTGATCAGTTACAACGGCAGCACCCGTATCATCACAACTTGTTTCTATTCCCAAAACAGTTGAAAGAAATCGAAATTTAGAGTAGCCTGGGGCACACACGATATGCACATTCCTGGAGAATGAGGTCAGCATCAAGGCCAACTGATTATAGTACTATGCAGTAAACTTTGGCTACCTTGAAAAATGAAGAAGCCAATAAAAACGAGTATATTAATATGCACACATTTAAATGCTTTAAACATAAAGAAGTATTTAAACTTATTTGAGTATAATTTCTTGTCTTCAATAAACATAATGATGCAAAGATTGCTTGAAACAAAAGAATTTGAGCAATTTTTGCCCTGCCAACCTATATCAGAACAAAATTTCATCATCTAAGGTCACACTAGCAGAATATGTTACAAATTAAACTAATATTTAGATAAAATTTTGTGCAAATTTTAGAATGTAATCTCTTTGCAATTTATAACTACGGAAATTTTGACAACATATAATAGATTTGTGCCTTTTCAAACGCAAATGTAAAAACGTCAGAATAGATTTCAATACATTTTATTCACTTTTACGAATTTTAAAAGTGACTTCAATGATCGGGTATATTATTAAATTACGATCAATTGAATATTCACCAAATAATCTCTGTTTAGGTTGTCTATATAAATATATATACCCCCATATCTTGTATAACTCATTAGGAAATGATATACACACTGAGCGAAGGTGAATAAAAGATGATAGCTTTTATAATAATTTAATATTCATCTTAATTTTAATAGGCCGGTATTACTTTTGGATGAAAATGGGACAATTTAAATTAGTCGAAATTAGAATTAAATTAACAACCTCTAAGGTCAGTTTATTCAGATCTACTTGACTATAATTTGATTACTTGAATACTTGAGTGGCGTAAAATGAAAGATTGCAAAGTCAAGATGATTAAGTGCTTGACTGATATTGTATGATTGAATTGACTGTAACAAAAGTTAAAAAATAATGGTAGTTTGTATAATTCAAATAGGGGAAAAGCACATATAGAAACGCCTTTTTTCTCAGCTGCCAACAATACTTAGTTTGTGAATTATATTAGTTCAGGCAAACATATATGGTTTTGATAATTCTTCCGACATATTCTCTAATTTACATGAATATTTTGTTCTAAAGCTCTATCTACTTTATTTTGAAATAAACATATTTATTCTTTGATTCACATATTCCGCCTGAAGTAGTTCGAGGATAATAATGATATTTGAGTAGAATTAACTGGTCGATGATGGAATATAAGTTAGATCTCATTAAAGTTGCTATAAAATTTTGATCACACACACTTATTAAGTAGTCATATAGAGCCATTATTCCTAAGCCACTTTGAAATACCGTATACTATTAGCCCAACTATATAATTTATTATTTAACTTTTAAAGCACTAATGAGAATAAACCACTGGCTTTAATTTAGAACTTGCAACTACAAGCTTTGCATATTTTAAGTTTTTACTTTAAAATAAATGGATTTTACTAGTCAGGCCTTAACTTTGGCGTTTAGAGACAGTGACCGGCAGTGGCTCGAAACCACTAGTTAGCCAACTCAGAACTTTGCGGACACGACGCTACCGATGTAGTAGATATCCAATCTCAAATATTATGCCTTGGGATATTTACTTATAAATATTGAATTGTGACCTTTATAGGTATTCTTCGGCATTATCATTTAAACATAGTTGTCTGACGTAAGTAATAAAGATACGCAATGTATAAGATCCAAGAACTTTGTGGTTAAAATATGAGCGATGCACTATTTTAAGAGTTCCATACTTGAAAGTCGGAGAAGTTTTTTGGTTTCAAATAGAGATAGGCTCTAGTATTCTAAATTTGAACACAATCATCATTTTCAGGAAAAAGTCAACATAACGCTCTTGAGGACCTATTATTATACTAACCAGCATTGACATTTTGGTAGCAAGTACATGAGTATATTTGAACCAGAATAGAAGTATGAGATTCTGTAATAATTCTTCCCCCATTTACTTACACAGAAGAAGAGATATTTGAATTAATTCAATTTCAATTGGATTCTCAAGAAGATGGGAGATTTGCCATAATTCATGGAAAAATAATTGTCGAATAATTCCTCATGATTTTTTTCCAAATTTTTCCAAATTGTTATTAACTAATAGCAAATAATTATCAAGAAATTATCAATTGTAACTTGTTAATTGATTCTGATCATATGATGCTTTGCCTCTTCAGAATTTGGCTTCCGAATTCATTTTGGTGTTTAGGGTGTCTGGTGCTAACTCCCTAATCCCTCCACCCAACAAAAAACAATATGTATGTTAACATTTAAAAAAACAGGGACTATTTAGCTAACTACAAATTTGTTTAATCATTAAATGTATGAGTGCGTATCAGCTACCTTTAAGCCAAATATCAAGAATAAATTAAATTTTAACCATTGGGAGAAAATGGGCGGTAGTTAAAAATGCCTACCATTTTTGATTAAATTATACCGACCAATAAGCCCTGAACATCGTATGCAAACATGTACTTCAATTCAAAGTACGAATAAGGAAATTGGAATGTTGGAATTGCCAAATTACCAAATATGACAAAAATTGAATGAAGCAATATGTGGTTTAATTTAATTTAATATTTAATTCTGAGTTTCCCTTCCGGCCCATTCACAGCTAAAATTCATTTTTTTTGTAATATCATGGATAGTAATAATTAAGGTTAGTTTTACTATTGCCACCAATCAACCCCAGCAAAGACGACAAATTCACGAATAAGTCCTATGAGAGGGTAACATCATTGTATCTCCAAGAAAATGAGAGATGTTAATGTAATTTTGAACTCACGGATAGGAATGGGAGTGTGATCCCACCTTTCTCTTATAAGAGATAAGAGCAACGGATGGCAGGGTGCTTATTAGTTTTGTTACTAATGCAAGAAAACCATTGTAAATTTTTATCACGAGATGAAATATGAAATGAAACGGAGGCGTAAGACGGATCAGTGAGACACTGATGCTGCACCAAGAGGCATACATGTGATTGGACTGAACATGAGACTAAATTTTACATTTTGAAGTGCACTACATGGTGGTATTAGAATTATCACATTACCGAAGACCTAAATGAAACACTTGATGAATTAGACTAGTTATAGCAATGTATTAATTAGTAGAATCACCTTGAGCTGTGTTAAGCTTCAATGGTGTTTCTCACACAGGGAGTCATTCATACAAGCCAAGCAGTTCTTTATGCAGCGAATCGAGTGATTGATAACGTTGTGGAGGGGATTCGTCATATTGAACAAACAGGGCACTTAATGAAACCGAGGTTGCCATAAACAAAGTGCTAGAGATAATTTTGGCAGCTTCATCAGGGAAAGAAGATGGGGGTTGCAGTCCAAATTCAACCTGGTCTACGGAGCAACGAAACAAGCTGATATGACACTTTTTGTGGGACTGACCACAAAAAAGTTCATTCACCTTGCCCATTAACTGGTTAGTCTTTGTCGCTTTTTCACGGTGAACAGTGTCTTTCCAGACTGCTTCCCATACACACATAATGTTCCATCGGGTTCAAAATTAGGGGAATTTGGAAGTCAAACATTGTGACTGTCCCACACGAATTTGCTAAATTCTCTTGAGGTCGTCATACATGGCCTAGTATTGGCTACCCTAGTTCATCAACTAGGGAAACTCTATTGCTGTGGTTAGAAACTCCATGTAGGCATCTGACTTTATCTGAAGCCTACCATGAAAACCAAAAATGCAGAGGAAGGCTCAGATAGCCTTCGGAAAACACACCTCTAAAGCCATAACAGCTTTAGAAATTTTAGTCTGCATGGATCAAAAGGTGACCTTTGCACTCTATTCAAACCAAACCGTCTCTTATTCTGCTTGTTGTGTTCTCCGTATTGACAATCGTTTTTTGTCATTTCAAAAAACCGGTTTATTTGTGCTTCACCAGGAACTTACAATTTGCTCAGAAGTTTCTTCGCTTTTGTCAGAAGACGATTGTTGCAGGTCTTTTCTGTGAGAAATTGACCTTTGCGAGGATAGTAAGAACCTGTGGTTGCGAAATCTTTCATTGAGTGCAAGCTTCACTGTAGAGGCTGAAACATTCAATCAGGATGTACGACTCTGTTTCGGGGGACATATGTTATGCAAACACAATCAGTACAAGCGATCTCGCTGTCCTTCAGTTCATGTTGGATTGTTTTCACGGTGTTGAGAAAGACTCCTTATTGTGATGGGTGATTCTATTTCATGATTTAGATGGGTTCCAGTCATTATTCATTCTTGTTGTTCTCAAGTACATGAATGGGGAATAGCTCAGACCTTTAAAAGATGCGCAGCTTGTGAAAATTTTAAACTTAGCCAGAGAAACAAGAAAACGTTATTCTATAAATTGTAAGAATTGAAGTGAATGACAGCGTATGATTAAGGCAGTAATTAAAAGCCGACATTGAATCAATGCTATTGAACTATCCACTTTTTCTGAGGATATTATTCCCTTAGTAATATCAAAATATCTCAGAGAAACATTGATTATGATAAAATATATCAGGCTCAGTAGACGGTTTTCGCAAGGCTAAAAATGAAAATAGCCTCCTCTTTATTTTGCATTATTTAAAAATACTGGTTAGCAAGCCATTTTAGTTAAAATTTTCAGACACTCCTTTGTGGAGAGAAGTAGAAGTAAGGAGGTGCTTCGAATCCTTCCATCCTTCATTAACCAAACGGTCTGTGATTGTCGGACAATTCATTCAATTGTTATGCTCCAACCCTCTATGTTTGTACACGAGCATACTAGCAGGTAGTAGAAGAGCTCATTTAAGGAAACATTTTCCAATTTTCATAGTTGGTATCATGAAGTCACTCAGATAAGGGACTCAAATTCTGCCACCCTCTATTTTAAGTGAACTTAATCAGTGGTATTTGCCATTCAAATCACCGGTTGTGGACGGAAGTGAACCAAATCCTTGACCTCTAGCATAACAGATATGTTCAGTGACGAATGGACTACCGAGAAAAAAGTATAATACACCTTCTCGAAGAAAAAAATTGGTCAAATTGATGACAAATTGTCAAAACGTGAGATCTCTGAAAATAGCACTTTAATGTTAAAGAGTGTTAATCCCCTTTAAATAATGATAATTGGATTTGCGCTCAAGCTACCATGTTCACACGACATCAATTTGCCTACGTATTCAGCATCAGTGTAGTAGTGCAATAGCTTACGGATTAAAAGAGGCCGTGTAATATGCTATTTATTTTCCAACATCACCCATCTAAGAAACCGTTTGACTAGATGGAAAAGCAAGCTAAAGTTGAAGAAAAGTGCAGTTACTAGGTGTAGGCAAGCATAAGACTTAAAAGAGGGTTTAATTACTACGTACGACATCTGGACTCAATTGAACCAAGGGTACTAATGGGTGTCAGCGATAAAATCCCCGCATTAATTCGCAATTATAATTTAATTAATTGCCAATTTGAAATTAACCGCTGTAATTAATGTTCCGGTTATTGCTTCTAAATTAGAGAGAATTAGAAAAAAAGATGCTTGGCATCATGTAGGACCTAGCGCTCTGAAGATCGAGCTGCCACTTCCCACTTCTTATTGGCTCTTGAGTTGGAGCGTTCACGCGTAGTAAATTTCAATATATACCTCTACAAGTAATTCACTGTCAACACACTATTCACCACCAAGGTGCTTAATTAAAAAATCAGATCGAGAGTAGAGAAAGAGAGCTCAAATATGCCTTCCCGAAGAGCACAGAAATATGGTAGGATCTTACATACTCTTCTTTCTTCTTCTTCTTCTCTTATTCAAAATTCTGGATGGTTTGTGTCATCGCATCTTTCTTTTCAGCCAGTCCTAAGCCAGAGGAGGAACAGTACTGGAAAAAGCCAACAAGACATGGTAGGATAATTATTGCGCCATTATTAAAAAAATTCAAAATTCCTTGAACAAAAGTTGAAAAAATAATTTTTCCTTGTTTTATAGATATTTCAGATGATGAATCGTCAAAGAGCAGTAGTAATTGGGCAAAAATGAACTTACTTTTTAAAATTATTATTTGTTAAATTTTAAGGCAATTGTTTCATTTAGATGCAGAGACTTCAGATGATGACGGCGAAGAGAAAATTATGGTTGAACGTTACTGGAAACGGGAGCCATCTTGTCTGTTATTGTTCCTTAAAATCAAATTTCTTGCCTGCATTTATAACAAGAAACCAATCAAATTTTGTTATCACTATTGTTTACAGCCCATAAAGGATGCGAGGCGCCAAGCGGAGAAGAGAAGATAATCATTTCTCGATTATGGAAAAAGAAATGTAAGTTCGAGAGAGAGGGAAGTGAACAATTATGAAGCCAAGCTAACTAACTTCCACATCTCCCACCCTTCCTCCCAATCTTTTAGCCACTGGAACAAGCAATGGAACGTCCGACAAAGAGAGTACGTTAAATGGTTATTCAACGGGTGCAAATTGAACGAGCTCTTCAATAATTTAATTTGGTTTCTAGCAAGCCGTGGTCAATCGAATGGTAGAGTATCAGGGGTCACAAAATCTGCGTCTTCCAATGCTTCCACAAATTCATTGGATACTTCCAATTCGGAGTCGTCAAGTGAATCCGAGCAATCGCATTCTGATGACAGCTCCGAAGGTGATGATGATTACAAAGAACACTACTGGTCTCATCGAACTCGAGGTAAATACCACCTCGTTTCTAATTTTAACTCTGAATCGCTTGTTCTCGAAAGTTATACACCCCACCCCACCCCCTCCTACACAACAAAATCAAATAATAGCCAAATTCAATTTCCTAGCTCCCCGTAAGTCGGGACATTTACAGAAAAAAAGCCCGCGGAATCGTGGTAAGAGGAACTTTGAGCTAACCACAAAAATAATCCTAAGCAAACTCCTAAGACTTAAAAACGGAAATAAGTAAACCAAATAACGGAGTATTATTTGTAGCCAGCCTCCTAAAAGTCTATACCACTTTATTGTAGATGATCAGCGCGCCAGTTCTCGTAATAGTCGACGTAAGTTCCTTTCAATTTCCTTTTAAGACGTAAATACTTTGAGATAGCCGAGCTGAGAGATATTCACGTGCCTGTATTCTTACTTTCTTAGCGCCAGTCTGTCAGAAATGTGGGTCTTACAAGTACCCCCGCAAACACTGAAATGGAAGACCCCCTAGTAATGTATTAGACTATTTAATGCAATTGACTTTTGAGTGCCTTCCCGCTGTGCTTTTTGTTGATTTTTTTTGTTAATAAAGGATTCCGAGTGTGTGGGGAATCCCTTTCGTTTAGCCACTCGTTCTCTCTGACTCCCCGGCTACTCGTTCTTTAACATTTTTGGTGTTACTCTACATATCAATGGAATAATAAATGTGTTTTATGGTTAGCAACAGATACGAGGTTTCTTTACGAACGCATTTGTGTTCATATATCCCAAGGACTTGATGGGAATAATAGACAGTGAAATCGTGAGAATAGCGTCTTGAGATGGACCTTAGGAGAAGTTCAACGTCTCACACGAGTTCACACCCTTAATTTAATTCAAAATCTACACGACACAATTAGATTAATTGATAGATAAGTTGATTATATTTGCATTATAGTGCGATTAATCATAATTTAATTAATTGGACAATATTTCCAACCACAAATTGACTCACGTTGTCATTTGACAGAAAGTGAGGAAGTAATTTTAGGAAGCGTTCATTCAAACAGCAACAGCTCAATAACATAAGTAAATCATAATTTAGGTAATTAAAAATATAAACCTGTTTTTCCCCAATCCTAATGGTACTTGATCCGAAGATATTTCCAAAGATGCTAGTACATTAAAGTGAAAAATGTCTCCTTTCTTTCTTAATAACTTCTGAAACTACTAATGAATCGTTTGGGAGAACTCTCAATTGAACTTTTAAGTGATCCAATTACAGAAATACCAGTGCCATACATAATCCAAAGCCATTAGATGTTTATTGATGAAATTAATTCCCATGAGTACATCACATTACGATATAAGTCGGTAAATGAATTAGTAAATTGATTTATACAAGTGTTGTTTGTCGATAGACCAGGTTGAGACAGAATATAGACCAGAGAATTGCGTCGAAAATAGAGACATCAGTAATGGGAAAAATGAGCACTAAAGTAAGGTGAACTGATCAAATACATTACTATTGAACAGCTGATCTGTGATTTACTAATCAAATATGCCTGTTTGAAAGTTGATCCTAAAATGTAGTTGCGAGATTTCGAAATAGAATAACTATTATTATTGAATATGTACTTCAAAATGATTTCAAAACAATTTGTACTTTTTGCAACCTTTAAATGATTGCATTGACGTTTCAGATCCTGAAAATTTGATACCCTCATGGCATTGCAAATTCCGAATTTCTAAGGCGAAACTAATTGGCTTCTTCTTTCTAAACGAATTAGGTATTCCAAGTTATTAATCTAATTTTTCCAGGGCAATATAATTAATATAATTGGTGTATAGCAATAAAAGTAACAATTAGATTTACAATTCCAAGATTCCTGAATGTATATTAAGTGAAATCGAAATGAACTCTTTACTTGCAATAAGTTGGAAGTTGAGGAAGGGAAATGGAAAAAGCATGATATTGGGTTTGAAATGAAGGTCCAATCAAAAGTCAGACATTTGTCTCCGAATTCTAAGGTGCCTCATAAGTGCTTTAATGAATCTATGACTATCCGTTTTGATGCGTCATTGCATATACCTAGGAATGTACTACTGTCATAACAACTTACAACAATAGCAGATGTTTGAGTTCAGTTCGGTTTTCAGTTGAAAAATCGTGACGTATTATTTGCGAGCAATAAATTTAGCTTCAGTGATAAAGGAAGAAATGCATAGCTCAAAAGCAGCCAAAAACAATGAAGATGGACATTATGGGCTGCCTTTCTCTTATTTGAGCTTAAATGCCTCCAAGGCTACTGAAAAAGCCATAACGTATATTACTGGTCAAAGGCTTACAGATTACCAATGTCAATTATAGCTTTAACGAATTAAACAGGTCACTAGGATATTAACTGATGCTCCAAAATAAGCTTGGTAGATGACAATTAAAATTTCTGGTTAGATTAGATCCTTGGTTAACTAAGAAGGAATTATCGCATAGATTAGCAAGTCGTTAGTCAATTGTAAAATCACGCTTTCAGGGCTTCTGTAAGTAGAATGTATTTGGGAATATGAGTGCCCACGTCAATCCCCCCCCCCCTCGCCCCAATATAACAAACGTGAATGTAGAAACAGATGTGGATTATTTTGTCTTCATCACAAAGTATTCGTCCCTATAATACCAAATTATTGCCGGGGACCGAGAAGGGAATAGGTTACGGAACAGGGGGAACAAAATAGTCAATGGTTGTCATCACGTCATACACCCATTCCAACTCCCAAGTCAGGATGGTGGTAATTCTTTGGAAATTATTTTCATGAGCTTAGTGGGATGTACACGGAATAAACTAGAACGAATAGCTGCGATTGGGTGAAATTAAAAATTAGAAGTTATCTATATCAAAATATCGATAGATGGGACTTCGAAAGATTTTCTAATATCAAAGCCAATACCGTGGATTTCAAGAATAAAGGCATGATTATTACGCGGTAAAGCAGTGCTAAGACTAATATGAGACAGCAATCAATAATGTGCTGGCGATTCGTGGCACCTAAGATGAAGTACCTGACAGTGCCAATCTCAGCATGCGCTTGATAGCACAGAACGCATTTGTTAATCAGAGTGCAATTGGGAGGAGGGGGGGGGGATAATTAATAAAATGAATTTGTTCAAAATACTTTATTTATTTCAAATGGCATGCGTTTTGATAGTTATCATTAGTCCATTACCTGACTTCGGGTTTCAAAGAGGGGAGGAACATCAGAGTGAGAAAATTCGAGAGGGAGAACAGAAGAGTGATTTACAGATGTAAAAGAAACAGAAAGACACAAAGGCAGAGAAAAGGTAAGATGAATACTGTGGAAGTGGTGAAATGTAACATACAGTGGGGTTATGGTAGTTTGAAGTCAAAAGTCAACTGCTGGTTTAAAGACTTTCTGCCGTATGAATATACGTTGCCCAGGGCGCACCACGCAGAGGTAAGTCTATCGCACACCCCTTGTTCAAAATATTAAGGTAGAGTAGACAGAATAACCTTTGCATAAGCCACTAGTAGAAATAAAATCGTTTCTTTATTAATTTTTGAAATTGGAGCCAACTACATTGGCCAGTGAGTTTGACTGGGCTTATTATCCTAAAATCCTTTGGAGTTTGCGACTACATAGTGCAAAGGTTAATAAGAACGTTGAAGAATGCCAGCGATTTAAATGGATTATCCCCACTACAGAGTAAAGACACTGAAGTCATTGAGGTGTCTTACCGGTGTCCTATCCTTAATAATCAGGTGATCAATTAACAGCTGTTCAGATAAAAAATAACCAATGAGAGGGTGGGGGAGGAGGTTGAAATTGACAGATTTAAGTCTACTAAATGGGTCATAGGAGGGAGGGGAGGAATCTTTGAATTCAGTCTTCTAGAGCCGGGAAAATAGAATTTAATAATACATGAGTTAAGTGAACGCTTAAGCGTTGTGAAGGAAGAATTTTTTTACAAGTGAATGCTCAAATTGCAAATAAGAACAAAAGAGAAACACTACATCAGTTTGGCATAAAATTAATTTGTAGAGTAGAGTGACGTTCTTGGTTTGTGATGTTAGATTCAATGTTAATCGATATCTTATATTCAAGATATTAGTAGGAATTAACTGAATGGAATTGAAAAACAAAATTTAAAACTATCCCTACCTCTTTAGTTAATTTACCCGAGTAAATTGGTGACAAAACTAATTAATTAATATTTTTGATGTTCGTTGATAAATTTCAGCCAATAATTGAAATCGAAAACATGATATCTTATTGGTAAATGAATTAATAATCAGCCACTCAAATCGGCTGAAAGATTTAGTTGATGGTTTTAACTGAAAGCAAACAAACAGTTAGAACTGGTTTCCAAAAAAGCTATCTTTTAAATAAATCGATGAAACAATCCGAACGCAAAGGCCGCCATTTCTCAAGATAGAAAATTTTAGTATATTTACTTTTTTCTTCTTAGACCTTTTAAATGTCCGAGCGTTTGAAAGTTGCCGAAGTTTTCTTTGCTCACCATGGGAAGTAAATAAGCGAAGTCACCAATTACTACTTCGATTGAAGAAAAGAGTGAAAAACGAAGTTGAGTTTAGGAATCCCTCAATTTTCAATGACAAAGAAAACCTATATTAGAGCGCTGCAAATATATCATATTTTGGATTGATATAAGTAAAAAAACTGAACTTCATGAGTACAGTTACAATAATTCAAAATCAGTCATTTTGGAGAATATGCCATGAAATAATCACATTTTCATTTAGTCTTCATAAAATCTGTAAATGCACACAGAAGAATCGATAAGAATTTAATATAATAATGTGCAAATTCATTAAATGGATTAATACCCCGTAGCAAATTTTTTGTTTTATTGTATTTGGCGAAAAGAATTCACGGAGATGTTAAGTCTGTGAGTTGACCAATTATTAATATTTGAACCTTCAGAACATTTAGTTCAAAAGTATTTATACATTCATAGAAAATAAATGGCTTAAAACCCCAATAGTCAACTGTTGTAACTACCAATATGAAAGTGTGAGACACGCCATCGCATGCCTGGACGCCAGGATTGAGATGTGTGGCCGTACAACTCCTTGTGAAGACAAATTTACAACCAGTGGCCAACCAGAAGCCTCTGTTTGTTTAAACTAATCCGACATTATGATTATGACTAAGCTCCCTGCGCATACACTTTACCCACATTATACTTCCTGAATAAACGTGTTCCGTGCGAAACATCTGTTTCCTCTTTAGCTGGGTTGTAGTTTAGCTAGTTCTGGGAGTCTAGCTAGATGTAGGTGAACATGCCAGAGATTTCTGAGTTAATCAGGCTTTATAAGTGTAGCAATTCGACACCAAAGGATGAAATTTAATTTAAATTCACAAATAGATTAATAAAATGAACACTCATTAAAACATACGCTTATAGTAAAGTTTTAGAATGATCAGAATAATTGGAATTACAAGCTTAAATCTTGACCACCAAAAATTGAATTAAACG